GGTGCCGGGGCCCCCAACCGCCCTGGCCTGAGCGCTGACGGCTCGTTGTTTAAAGCGAGATGCTGTTCTCCGTTCCAGGGAAAGCAGAGAAGAAAAAATGGAAGGAAACGAAGCTGCTGAAGAAACTGGAAAAACAGCGGATGCGGGAGCTGGCAGAAAAACAAGCCGAGAAGCAGGAGGAGCAGATGGAAGACAAAGGTGATGCCGCTGTGAGCCGGTGGGGAGGCCTGGGTTGAAAGAGCTGGGAGAACTTGGTCGTTAGAAGTCAGCCGGTTTTACGTATCGATAGGAAAGGTGACGCTCGGCTTCATAGATCTGATACAGCTCAGCCCACACACATAAACAGGCACGAACGCAATGCAGCGAGCACTGCACGAAAGACCTTTCTTAAGAGAAAACCTGTGATTAAAACTTAAGAAACAGAGGTTGCTTTTTTCTCCCACCATAACTGCAGTTGAAGCAGTAAATAAAATGCTGTACGCGCAGCTGTCACGCTGTGGCTTCTCTTCTGATCGCACTCTGTTCCCCAGGGCGTCACTACACGCTGAGCGTAGCCCTGCCAGGCTCTATCTTGAACAATGCCCAGTCACTGGAGCTGCGGACGTACCTTGCTGGACAGATCGCTCGGGCCTGTGCCATCTTCTGTGTGGATGAGATCATAGTGTTTGACGAGCATGGAGAAGATGTAAAGTAAGGAGGAGGCATCTTGTTCTGCAGAAAGCGTTTCCTCTCTGCTTTCTGTTTCTTCAGTCTTTTATTAAGCTAAGACCAGGAAAGAACGGCGTGTACCTCAAGCAAACGTTTGAGCCTCTCTCAGATGCCAGGATTACAGGGACCCCTATTCCACTGGGCAAAGATGTTGATTTAACTGCCCTGGCTACTAGGATCATTTATCCCAGCACAGGGGTGACGAAGCAGCAGGAGGTCAAGTTCTCTTGTACTCTTAAATCTTGCTGTGGCGGGGCAGGGCATGCCTATATCCTTATGGAAGACGAATTCCTGTCTTTCAGCTTTTCAACCTGGACCTGCACCTGTGTTAACTGGCCAAGCCATGCAATCCTGTAGCATCCAGCTCGGTAGCATCCAACTGCCAGGTTGTGTCAATACATGATCAAAAACAAAACTGAAAGAGATACTTGGCTTACAGAGAGAGTTCCAAACGTGATTTGTTAAGTCTTTACCTCTGGAGTAGCCTTTTTATAAGACAGCCCATTTATTTCTTGGGGGGTGGAGGGTGCTGCTATTTTCAGATTAAGGAGCAAGGCTTGGTCTTCTGGAGACCTGGCCATTTGGGGCTGTGCAGTCTCATGCCGATTTCACAGGCTGCTCTCTTTCAGGAGCGTGGAGGGGGACTTTGAAGGAATTGGGAGGAGAGGCAAGGCTTGCGTGCAGCTGGCTCGGATCCTGCAGTACTTGGAGTGCCCTCAGTAAGTCCACCATGGCCAGACTGTGCATCTGACTTGCATCAGAACTGACTACCATGGGTATCTCACACTCAAGGCTATGGGAGCAGGAGACAAGTTCTGTTTATATTGCATAGTTATGCAGGAACACAGGATCCAATTGTTTCACGTGTCTGATTCAGGAGTTTAACTAAAAGAAGAGCAGTGAATGCAGGATACAACCTGCGTGATACATTAGAGGTAGATCAGGGACTTGAGGGAGCTAAGCACGCTTTTCTCTGTACTCAGCTCCTTTGAGTCAGAACAGGGGTAGAACTGAGGGTTGGATTCCTTAGAGACAACTGTTTTCACATTTGAACCTTCTCGGATAACAGGTACTTGAGGAAATCCTTTTTTCCAAAACATGAGGATCTGCAGTTTGCAGGTAATGATTCAGTTGTCTCTGTCCCAAGCTGTTGGCTCCCCCTTCCTGAGCTCTGGCTCTTGTTTTGCATGGCATGCCTAGAATTGAAAAACTTTTCCCCGCTTTAGAGCGCTGGCGAGGTGCTGTGCCGTGGTGTGCCGGACCAGAGAGAGAGGGGGCAGCGGAGCAGTTGTACTTAACACCTGGGTTCCCACAGTTTGTGTCCTCTCCTTAGCAGTTGCTTTCCTCTGTGCTGTTCTAGGGCTGCTCAACCCCCTGGACAGCCCCCACCACATGCGGGTGGATGAGGATTCAGAGTACCGAGAAGGCGTAGTGTTGGACCGGCCAACTAAGCCAGGCAGAGGCTCTTTTGTTAACTGTGGGATGAGGAAGGTATGTCTGTTACCAACGATCCCAAAACGATTTTCCCTGCCTCTCGGGCAGATTTGAAGCGGGCAGGGTGGGTACTGCTGAGTTTCTGAAGGCCGCAGCAGGTTTAATGCTGTTGCTGTCTTGTCCCTTCTGGCTCATTAATGGCTGTAGCTTCCCAAGTCCTGGCAGGCCTGCCCATTCCAGCACGTCATTGCTTCAGTGCTGGAGTTGAACCTTTGAGCAGCAAAATAAGTCTCAGGCTGCTGACCCAGCCACCCTGAGCCTGCTCTGCACTGCGTGAACCACACAGGCCCTGATCGCAGAGCCCTTCATTCCAGCTCCAGGCCAGAAGAGATCCCCACTTCCTCAGAGGGTTCCCTTCCTTCCCCACCTTCCCCAGTACTTCCAGAATGTCTGACGCTGATGGTGACTGTCACTGCAGGAGGTGCAGATCGACAGACAGCTGAACCCTGGGTTGCGAGTCACTGTGCGCCTGGAGGAGCCCCAGAAGGCAGGTAATCCACTGCTCCGTTAGTATTGGTAAACTTCAGTCCCGCAGGAGTCGGTCCTTCCATATGACAGCCTTCAGATTACTAACGTTTGAAGGTACCCAACAGCTCTGCACGTTCCCTTCACTCCACACACCATTTTAATAACATCCTTACCATACCTCCTTATTGACTGGAAAGAACTATCAGCTCTTTGACCAACAACAAACAGCCCAAACATACTTGCACACTTTCCAGAACCGTCTCGAAAGGGCGGTTCTTGGTTGTACACCAAGTCAGTGCCCTACCCTGGGAGAAACTGCCGTATGTGGCTGGTCAAATCCAGCTCTCGCTAGGAGATCACAGGGGTTGTTAATCTCTTTGCATCCCTTTCAGAAGCTAAAGTGCGGAAAGGCACCGTGGTGTCCTCACACCACCCTCGGACGGTGTCAGGCTTGTACTGGGGTTACAGCGTCCGCCTTGCCTCCTGCTTGAGTAAGTATTTGCAGGGGTTCTCCGCTCTCTGCCATGTCTCTGCCTGGGCTTCCACACCAATTTCAGGCCTACTGGCTGCACATCTGCAGCACACATTAACATCTCTTTCTTTTGAAATCTCTTTTGTCTCAAAGGTAGCTTACACATGCGGCTAGCAGCCTTGTGGCAATCAAATTGAAGGGCTAAAGCTAGGGGCGTGAATCACCCCGGTCACCCACCAGTACTCCGCCCTGCACTTCCACTCACCCTTGCACCAATGTCCACATTGTAGCAGGAGACAAGAGCTGGTGCTCTCCATCTCCAGCCAGTACATCTCCATTTCCATGATAACTACTTCCCGCGCATTCACATCAAAGCCAGCAGTGACATTTGAGCTCAAGAGCCCTGCAAAATCCTTTTCCTGTCTTCTGATTGATTGCACCTCCTAGGAAAGTCATAAGCCGTTAGTCAAGGAGTGGCTCCTGGCACCTGTTTGAGCTTTGAGGAAAAGGTGCTGCAGTTGAGAAGGGTGCCAGAGACTCCTGCAGTAAGGGAATTGTGTAGGAAAGAGGAATCATTCTTCTGTCTCCTGATGCACTAGTGGCACTTAAAAGCAATTCCTTCTGCTGCTGCCACTCACCTGTGGAGCGTTTCAGCCTGTCCAGAAGGCACGCAGCGTGGGCGAGGGCACCACATGAATAACCCCATATTGTGTTTGTTTCCCAGGTGCTGTCTTTTCAGAGTGCCCGTTCAAGGAAGGCTACGATCTGTCTGTTGGGACCTCGGAGCGGGGCAGCTCCGTGGACCAGGCCACTCTCCCCTCCTTCAGGTTCGTGTCCTGCCTGCTTGGCCCTACTCGGAGCCCCCAGGGAGGCCTGGTGCAGGCAGCAGAGCTGCACTGTGGCCTTGATGTTCTCCCAGGCAGGAACGCTCCTAGATACAAACGCGAGACTTGCCTGCAGGCTCCCTCCTGTGCTCTGCTGCTCCCTTTTGCACCAATGCACATTCCTCTGCGTGACGGAAGCTGGCGGAAGTACCCCAGGACAAGGCCAATTCCTTTCCTGTTTCTCTGGAGTTGGTAGCAGGGACTGTCGCAATGGCCAAGTGCCGTGGGGCTTTGTTAGGGAGGCAGCTGCATCGGGCATTGTCAGCAAGGGACGCAGCTCCCTGCTTCAACAGCACAGAGGAGCTTGAACACAGACCCAGATACCTGAACAAAAGAAACGAGTCTGCTTCTTGCAGATAAAGTTAAGAGAACTGTTTATGCGAAGCCAATTCTTGATCCGCTTGAAGGTTCGAGGCACGTGAGCAGCTCTCCTATGTAAAGCTTGTAGTATCTGCCTAGTGTCTGCCTTGGTACAAGGGGTAAGAGCCAGTCTCCCCTCTCACCCTGTCCCTGTGCTCTCTCCTAGGCATGCCCTTGTCGTGTTTGGAGGCCTTGAGGGCTTGGAAGCTGGGGTTGACGTGGACCCAAACCTGGAGGTCACGGACCCAAGCGTCTTGTTTGACTTCTACCTGAACACTTGTCCCAGCCAAGGCAGCAGAACCATCCGGACAGAGGTAGGGCAGGTGGCTAATGGTGCAGTGGGGCGCAATGCCTGCGTGCGCAGAGCAGTGCTGCGTTTCTGCCTCTGGCAGTGACATGTATGGCCCACGTGTCGTTCCTCACGGTGACGCCTCAGCAAAGAGCGGCTGGCTTGCCTGGTGCTCCTCAGAGAGCAGCAGTTCTGACTGCTGCCTGGGTCTGTTCCAGGAAGCACTGCTGATCTCTCTGTCTGCGCTGAGACCCCACATCAGTGAGGCTGTGAAGACACCCAGCGACAGCTGAGGGAAGGAAAACCACTGACCTTGCCATCGGCTGAGGACTGCCTTGGGGAAGCAGCTGTTCAAACGCGGGGTGCTGGCCAAATCACTCCAAGAGCCTGACAGGGCCAAGACACAGCGTGACTAAAGCTGGCAGCACTGCTCGACCAAGTGTCTGCGCCCTCCTGCCTGGGTGGCCCAGCCAATGGCTGGTTGCTGCCTCTCAGCAGCTGGGACAAGCCTGGCAGCAGACTTGGTCTCAGTAATTCAGACATCTGGGGTGGGGAATAAAGCAGTATGGAACCTCAGCTGCCTTGAAGTCCGTGTGTGAGTGTCTTGGTGTAGGGGACAGGCACTCGGTGTCCAGCGATCCTGCACGCTCAGTGCCCCTGGAGCCATGTGGCCTTCAGACTTGAAGGCAAAACTGAGTCCTTATGCCAAGAAGCTGTTCCTGTCTCGGTTAGCCTGACTCCCCCAGCCTCCCCTTCAACTCCAAGGCTTCCTCCTTCCCAACAGCAGGAAGGGCTGGAGCTTCAATTGGGCCTCAGCACTAAAGCACATCAGCATAGCTCGTTACAGTTTGGCTCCATCTGTAATGCCTTAACCTCTGCCTACAGTGAGCTCAAACAGGAAGGCAGCTGGAAAAGTTGGCTCTGTCCTCCCCTCTTCCTGCTCAGATATTCAGGGCATTGGTAAGAGCAGATAAGAAGCAACCAATGCTTTGGGGTTTTAAAGATTTACTGCTAAAATCATCTTCTGAAAGAAAACAATCATACAATCCTTTGGCCACAGAAAGGCAGGAACCTCTCCTCTCCCCCCCCGCGCCCATCTTGCTCCCATTCTTCCCTGCTAAATAGCAGAAATTATGTAACTTCCCTTTGTGCCTTAATGAGCCAAGGGAGCAATTACAGGGGTACCCTCTGTACTGCAGCTTACGGGCAAATTCAAAAGACATGCTATGGTGTCAAGTGCCCGGGAGCCTTCTGCAGGACCTGCCGCACGTGTGTGTGTCACCGTTACGCAAAACGAGGGGAAGGGTAAAGAGCAGCATTGGTTTGATTCTTATTTCTCACATTTAAAATTGCACGAGGAACTAGTATTCTGTGGACGACTGCTGTGAGTCCCTTCCCACGGAATACCTGGATTTGTTTAGTTGGGGTTCAATGCTTGTTTCCAGCTGTGATGGCTTTCAAGTTACTTGTTCTCTTCAAGATGTTTGGGACAAAGAGGAGCCCCGAGGCTCGCTCAATGCTCTCGATGGGAACCAGGAACCGTTCCAGGGGGATTTTCTCATCCACAGGGCTGTTGGGCATCACATACGAGCGCAACTCAATCTCCCCGCTCTCCTTTTCCAAGATGAGCACCTTGAAGAAATGGGTGGGGACGGCCACATTGTTCTTCCCAATCACCTGGTACTTGACATACATCTTCCCATCGGCCTCCATCCTGCACCAACAGCAATGTCCCATGTTACCTCCTAGTCTGGTACCACATCCGTCCCCTCAGCCCTCCACCACCACCCCTAAGTGAGCCCCCACCCCACAGCATGGCAGGGAGCAGCCCTACTTCTGCAGTAGGGGTGTAAAAACATCGCTGAAACGGAGGCTACGTGACACGGTGAGGCCGAGCTGTGTATTGGGTCTGCTCCCCCCAAATCCCTTCCGTCTCTCTTTAACAGCTTTTCCAAGCTATTTCCTGCTGCTGAAGAGATCTCAACGTGAGCCAGCTGCTCTTCAGTGCTACATGAAGATCTTTGCAAATAAAGTCGTGCTCTTAAGTGGAGAAATAGTCCGTGAAATAAAACCTAGAAGCTTTATTCCGCAGGGAAGGGGTCTGCAGTCTAATCTGTTAATCTAATAATCTAATAATCTACTACTAGATTGTTAAGGACTGCAAACAAAAGCGACTTGGTTATGTTGTAGCTCAAGAAACCCACCTTTACTCACGAAACAATCCACCGAATGGGAAATACACAAACTAACCCTAATCCCAAGAAAGTACCTTTCCACAGAACCTCTGCGCACAGCTGGTCTCACCTACTGAGCGGGGCCTTAGCAGATCACTCCCGTTTGGGAGCAGCTGGGAGGCTGCACCCCCTCAGCCTCCTTTCCTTTCCCTGCACGATGCATCTTTCAAGCGCAGTCCCAGCTTGGCCCTCGTGTTTACCTGGGCAGGTAAAGGGGTCCCGTGCAGACATAGACGTTCTTGTTGTTCCTTGCCAAGCTTCTGCTGTACTTCTCAAGGTTATTCCAGGCGTTCTGGTTTAAATGAGGATCCTAGAAACACAACCAGGGCAACACAGACAGCAAAGTCAGTCGCTGGGGAATTTGTTCGCTGTTCATAACCTGTCTTTTCTGTAACACCAGAAAAAGCGCCCCAGGCACCTTCCAGTGAAATCTCCACTATCGCCTCCGCTCCGGAAGCTGCGTACAGCGAGGTCCTGGTTTGCACACCCGGGAACAGAACCCACTCGCCTCAGACCGTGATTTTTGCAAGCATCTGTCCGCCTGTTTAACTTGGCTCCTGCAACGAGCTGCGCTGAACAGAGTCTCTCACGGTTTGAGAGGAGCGCGCAGGCAGGCGCGTTTGCAGGATCGCTGCTGTTAAGTTTAGCAGGAAATACAGCACCTTCGAGTGACTTCGGCCACTTTGGACCCTCTCTGCCCGAACCACAAACCCCAGGGACAAACAGACGGCAGAGCCCGAGACGCTCCGAGGTGGTTTCCAGCAGGGAGCAGCACCTGTCCTTGAACTCAGACAGCTCCGGCTTCCCCCCTCCACCCGCCCCGGGCGCGGCGAGTCCGCCCGCGGGCCCCCCGGGC